TCAACGAGTTGAACTGATGGAGATGGACTAACGTCCTCAGACTTCCCCTTTTTGGATTTAATTACCTGTGCACCTGTATGAAGTAGCAGGATATAACCCCTCATCATTGCAGTAAAAAAACCTGCTTTCCTATCATCTAGACTGAGTATTCACGGATAGACTCTGTGAAGAACGAGCCGGTGGGTTGTCATCAACACCTGCGACCCCCTCTCCATCATTGGCAATGGCTACGATTTCAACAACAAGCAGCGTCACCAACACCAGACACCCAAGTTTTATATTAGCATTGAATTCAGTTATCATTTATATTTTTCATTTTCATTTAATGTAGGATCAATATTTCATATTTAAGTGTTTTATATTTTATATTTTTTAAATAATAAAGTGTTTATGTTTGTCAGTTTTTATTCTTTTTCTATACATTAATTTTCCTGAGGAGGAGCCAGCCTTAGTAATACTGACTGAAGTTGTTACAGGGCTGAGTAAGCCTTCACGAAAGGTTAGTTTGAGAGATTTACGAAGCGTAGTGGCATACATAGTGTGATAAGGCATGGTGAGGCTGCCAGTTTGGACCACAAAACAGCTGAAAAATATGTGCAGGAATTCAAGGAGTACATAGACAGTGAAGGACTGAAACCTGAACAAGTGTTTAATTGTGACGAAACAGGCCTGTTTTGGAAGAAAATGCCAAGCAGGACCTACATTACTCGGGAGGAAAAGGCACTCCCAGGACATAAGCCTATGAAAGACAGGCTTACTCTTCTCATGTGTGCCAATGCTAGTGGTGATTGCAAAGTGAAGCCTTTATTAGTGTATCACTCAGAAACTCCCAGAGCGTTCAGGCGAAAGAATATCCTCAAGGCTAATTTGTGTGTGCTGTGGAGGGAAACAGTAAGGCATGGGTCACTAGGGACTTTTTCTATGACTGGTTACACCAATCATTTGCCCCCAATGTGAAAAATTACCTAACTGAAAAGAATTGGGACCTTAAGTGCCTCCTGGTGTTAGACAATTGCCCGGGTTTCATCCTACAGATTTTGGCAGCAGAGCGACTTTGTGGGGCCCATGAGCTTCATTAAGGTCAATTTTTTTCCCTCCTAATACCACTCCTCTCCTGCAGCCCATGGACCAGAAGGTTATTGCAAACTTAAAAAAAACTGTTACACAAAAGCTCTATTTGAAAGGTGCTTTGTAGTGACCTCAGAAACTCAATTGACTCTAAGAGAGTTTTGGAGAGGGGCACTTTAATATCCTCAATTGTGTAAAACCCTTATAGGTAAGGCTTGGGAGGGAGTGACTAAGAGGACCCTTTAATTGCTTGGAAGAAATGTGGCCAGAATGTGTAGACCAAAAGGGGTTATTTAAGGATTTGAGGCTAACCTGAGAGGCGTTATGCCAGTTGAGGAATCAATTTTTGGCATTTGGGGAAGTCCTTGGGGTTGGAGGTCAGGGGGGAGATTGTGGGAAGAGTTGGTGGAGGAGGACAACTAAACACTGATGAGTTGATAGATCATCTTCAACAGCATGAGGCCACACCTGAGGAAAACTGGTTCGGAGGAGGGGAGAGAGAAATTGAAGAAGTTGCCTACTTCAAAGATTAAAGGAAATCTGTGCAATGTGGCTTAAAGTGCAAACCCTTTTTGAATGAAAATCACCCTCAAAAAACTGTTGCAAGCCCTGTTGGCAACCTGTACACTGACCCGTGTTGGAACCACTTTAGGAAAGGGCATTAAGGAACGAGAGGTACAGGCCTCTTTGGACAGATATGTTGTGCGACAGAAGTCCCGTGACTCTAAGCTGGTCCTAGTGGCATTAAAAGAAGGAGGGAAGTAACCCCAGAAAAGGACTTGACACCTCAAGTCCTAATGGAAGGGGATTCCCCTTCAAAACACTAAGACCATCAACACTCTCCCCTCCTCCCATCCCATCAATCATCCCCAGATCTTCAATAAAGGTAAGTGCCATGTAACTGTGTATGTTTTCTTCAGTTTGTGTGTATTGAAATTAATATTTCATGTGGTAAATTTTTTTTTTTCAAATTTTGGGGGTGTCAGGAACGGATTAATTTGATTTCCATTATTTCTTATGGGGAAAATTCATTCGCATAACATTGAGCTCTCTGGGCGGTTTAAATTTAGCGTTATGCGGGGGTCCACTGTATTACTCTTGCTTTCCATTTGGAATTTTTATTCACAAAAATAGAAGTTTTAAACTGTTATGCAGACTGCTGCATTATTGTAATAATTGTATAAATAATGTCAACCCATTCTTGACTTCGTATTGGAATTTGGGCTGGCGGGGCGGACAGGTATTGGACGGTGACGTCATTTGTTTTTCTCTTGAGCTTCGCTGAAGAATAGAACATTTTCGCTACTGTGAGCGCAATTTCAAGGTACTTTTCATCATAAAGCAATCAAAATCATATCTATTTCCCGTAATATAGCTTTCATTCTATCAAATGAGACTGAGAAAAGAGAATATAACCATAACAACCATACAAAAAAAATACCGCTAATGGCTTGAGAAGTGAACTCCGCTATTTATGGTTGATTTTTCATTTTTTGGGGTATGTTAAGCAGTATCTTTCCATCATACCATCATACATTGCCCAAGTTTCAATATGATAAACCAACAAACAATTGAGAAAAAAACAAATAATAATAAAATATATCTTTATTTACTCATGTACATGTACAGGTATACAGGCCTAGCTGACATCAGTGACATACTACTATATAGAAAGCCACTTGTTATGCAGGTATTTCAAGCAAATTAGGTCAGTGCCCAGGATAACACCCACACCAGTCAAACTAAACACCCAGGTACCCATTTACTGATGGGTGAACATAGACAAAAAGGGTTTAAAAAAACCGCCCAATGTTTCTACCCTGACTGGGAATCGAATATTTACCAAAAATCATATATGGTAACCCAAGCCAGGTACTAGAAATAAGCCCTTTGTCTGACTTTTTTGGGTTATCTAGGTTCTCTACACTTATGCTGCTATGTGTGATTATCTATAAGAGAAAATAACTTTTTTGTTTCAGGTTTATGGTGCAGTACGAGTTTTATATCACAGCTAGTCGTGTGCTATACTCTGTTTTCTCTAATATAAGCCACCAAGAAGGGGAGAGGAGAATGGTAATTTGCATTCCATGTCCTCTTCATCCCTCTGTTGAACTGCTCGGTATTATGCCAAATATTATTCATTCTGGAGTATTTAACATGTTTTATGTTATTTTTTATTGTTTATTATGTCATATTAGATCAATTGTGATAGGCAATAAGCTGTAGTGTTGATATTAGGTAATAATAAAGCATATTCTCCTGCTTCATGAGACTGAGTTCATGACAACCGACAGTGGCTTCAAAGCCACCTTATCTTTAATGGACAATGTACTGTGTAGGTGGTTTATTTTCAACGAAAAGGTTTCTTTTATTCATTGGAACCCTGGCTAAGGCTAAAAGTAAGCAGATTTAAAAGATGGGAAGAAAAGAAATAAGAAGGACTTATGCAGCAAGTAGCGTCACCAAACAGTATCAGACACATGCACAGAGACACTTCAGGATTTGGAGTCTCAACAGTCAAAGGGTTTTTAAAGTGCCCCAGAGTGATGAAATGCATATAAGTACACCCATTACTTACCTTAAAATATTTGTAGTTTCAATGTAGGGTGAAAGGTAAGTAAACGAGAGAGAGAGAGAGAGAATGAGAGAGGGGAAAAGCGAGAGAGAGAGAAAGCGAGAGAGAGAGAACGAGAGAGAGAGAACGGGGGGGAGAGAGAGAGAACGAGGGGAGAGGAGAAGGAGAGAGAGAGAGAGAGAGAGAACGAGGGGGAGAGAGAGAAGAGAACGAACAAAAACGAACGAACGAAACGCACGCACGCACGCATGCACGCACATGAAAGACAGGAGCCTCATAACAATAAATATGCTTTCAAATGGTGATGTAGGAACGCTTTAGCTTGCAATTAAAGTTAGGAATCCTTAGCGCAAATGCTTTAAAAAAGTAGGGTCCTTAACCTTGTCAAACGCTGTGTAAAAAAACCACCCAAACGATTGGTTTGTCACTCCCACGGTGCTCACGGAGAATGTAAGCAAACCGGGGGGGGCCCAGTGACCGTTTGAAACAGTGGGAGCTGTATCAAGTTTTGGCCATTTTTGAAATGTCCGTTTAACAATATGTTGAAAGTAAAAATCCCAAAAAGCAGGGCCCTGTTGTATTTCTGAAAGTTTATTGGATTATTTGTGAAATTATAATGATGTGTTGTAAAACTTGCTGAGGGGAAAAGGGGAGTTTGAAACCCTTGCAAGTTTTCCTAAAACCAATAGGCCGTGAGCTATCCACTGCTTCCCACCCCCATATGATTCATCCGTAGATGTTTTTATGTACAGAAAAAAGAGGTTATGGGTCCCACTGTGACCCCAAAATGCAAGATTTTCAGACAAATTTCACTCCAGCATTGCTGTAGCGGTCTGGCTAAAGCCCCTTAAAGTCATTATAATGATCCTAGGGGTTTTTTGAAATTTTCACCTATTTAGTAAATTTAGTATATTAGCTGGTATAGTAGTGGCACACGGTTTGTAGTTTTTACTGTCTTGCTATGATTTGATTCCATCTGGTCGGAGTTTTTATCGGATTATTGTTATATATTCTCGAAAACTAAACCCACATGGGTCATGCAGATTTGGGAGTGGGATATCAAATCTGATCCAAGAGAAGGGTAATTCTAATTTTTGGATCAGGAGCCCTTACAGATCAAAGCAGTCACTTCGGGTGAAGTTCAATGGATACTATATGCTGGGGTATGAAAATGGTATTAATTTGGGTGGATTATGTTTATTTTTTGCATAAACTATTTTTGATGTAAGAAAATATTTTGTGTTGAAGGGTTTTGAAAATTGAAAAAAATCACACTTAGTTTCCCACTGTTATATACAGTAGTAGTAGTATTAAGATAATTGTACGAACAATATTCATTATTTTTTTTTTTTTTTAGGGCCAATCGGTTTTCTAAAACTAATGAAGAGTTTGGAGCAAGTCGTCCTAATGGCTTTTGAGTGGGGTCCTCCAGGATGGGGAAAAAAATTTGTTGGCCAAGGCTGTTGAAATGGGGGGCCTGGCATCAATTTGCTTCCAGTAATGGGTCCAGAACTTTTAAATATGGGGGCATTATTACGTAGTACGTTTTTAAACGTTGGCTTTTTTAAAATTGGTAATTTTTACTTGTAATTATTAGTGTGCTTACGGTTGTTCTAAAACAATTTCCCTTGCAAGTGATGAATTAAAATGTGTATAAACAGTAGCCGTTATTTAAGGATTTATTTGCCACATTTTGGTATTGCACTTTTGAAAAATTTCGACACTTTTTTATACAAACACTTCATAAAATTTAAAACTAACCGGTTCATTTTGCGAGTGCAAAAAAAATTTACCCAGTAGCTGTCGCCTTGTTGTAGGTCAGAGGGGCAGACCTATCCCCTTTCCCTGCCCCCCCTGAAAACCGCCCTCCCATCCCAGCCTTCGTGAATGTTGTTCAGTCCATTGTCTTAGGAGCTGCTGTGTTTGTGAATTGTTTTGATCTTTTAATTGCCATTTTGTATCTGCACAAGGTTTGTGAAAAAGGAAACAAAGGATAAGTATTTAGTCTTGAATTAATGAAAAAATAGGATTTAGACAAGAGTAGCCTATGGCCTTTTAAGAAGCATCCTTTGTCAATTTTAAAGAATGAAGTAAATATACAAGTTTGTGGATATGATTTATGACTGACTTGTTTATTTACTGATGATTGAAATGATTTACTGCTGACTTAAAGTTAGACTTTTTTTCCCGAAAGAGGACCTGCAAATTACAAAGCAGTGCTTGAAAAGGTGCTTTTCCATCGCTCAAGCTGCCGCCTTGTTGTGGGTAGTGGGGAAGGGCCTACCCTCCCCCGCCACCTCGACATCCCACCACCCCATCCCCCGCCTTTTGAATGTGGGTTTTGTTCCACCCCTTTTAAAAGTTGCGTGTTTGTGAATTGGTTTTGATCTTTTAACCCTTTTGGGGTTTCGGCCCCTACTGTTCTAAATTTAGCACCCCCAATTTAGCAAAAGGGGAAACTGGGGGCCTAAAATATGAAAGAATGGGTCTATGTGGTCGTAGGCAGTATAAAAAAAAACCCTGCAGCACACATGCGTAAAGGAAAAAAAAAAATTTTACCGTGTTTTTTTTGGTTTAAAACAGCGACTTTGCACTGTATTTTTTTTGATATGTTGTTTCTAGTTTTCTTTATTGTATAGAATGGAGAAATATTACCCGAAATTTGAGTGATTTTTTATGGGTTTTTTAATGAAAAAATACCTGAAATTAAGCTCAAAGTAGCAGAAATTTTTCGATTTTTTTCCCAATTCAAAAAGTAACAAACATGCTAACGTCCCAAAACACATTCAAAAACCCGGGGAGTCAAAAATTCTTTCCAAGTGCACGTATTTTTATACCATTTTACACTAAGCAGTAGCTGAAAACAGTTAAAACTGTTTTTTTTTTTTTTTGTGGAAAAAAAAATGTGGAAAAAAAAAAAAAATGTAAGAGGGGCCTGGGAGTGACAATGAAAAGAGGAAATGTTTTTTTGTGCCCGGAAGTCTTTCTTGTTTTTTTGGGGCCTATTTTGGAAATTGGCCTGTTTGAAATTTGTGTGAAATTTTGGAAAAAAAAGCTAAATTTGACCACTTTATTGGATGTTGAAAATCGGTTTAAAAAGGGTGGTTTCTTGTACTTTTTCATTAGAAAAAAAAAGGGAGTTCTAGCGAATTGTTACGATTTTTGTCGCTAGTACATGGAATTGGTCGAAAATGGGCTCAAAAAGGGAAAAAACGTGTTTCGTAAACCGTCGAGACTGCTAACTTTGCGAGAGCATAATTCCGTAAGTTTTCCATCAAATTTCATACTTTTGGTGTCATTATGTCGGGGGAAAAAAAAATTTTCTATCTTTTCTGATATTTTTTTTTTTTTTTGGGGGGGGGGGAACCCTGAGAACAAATCTCTGAGAGGGCCCCGGCGCCCCCCAAAGGGTTAAATTTCCATACCCTTTTATCTGCCAAGCAATCATGGCACCCATTGGCATACAAGTGTTCAGTGGAAGGAAAAGGTTTGTAAATGTTTTAAAAACTTGAATACGAAGAAAAATGAGATATTCACAAGAGATTAAAGGTTGTGTTAAACACACTTTTTGGATGGTAACAAATTATTGCAGAAAGTAAGAAAGGGGAGCCCCCTGCAGTGTGTTGCCTGGTTTTGACTTGGTGGACTGAGGGAGGGTAGGATCCCACGCACTCAGTGCATTGTGATTCTACAAACGTCCCCAGTGTAAAGGATGTATTATATAAAACATATGGATGGTACTTGATATCGATAAGCTATACAACACAGTAAGGGGTCAGAACTATGCTGAAACTCGGTCTGTTCGTTATTGTCTCGACATACATACTATGTATAGGCTGAACAGGGGTGGCTCGGGTGATTCTATCAATAAAAAAGACATATGTAACTTAGAACTAATGGATGGTTCTAATGGTGTTAACATAATGGATTTTAACGAATGAGTTTTAACATAATGCATTACGAATTATAAGAACAAATCATGGTATAATATAGGATGGAATTGATCGACCGATCTGTATTCATCCATTCTACGGATTCTGAGGAAGAATAAATATATATACAAGGTGAAAGTAATTAACAGCAAAGGCAAATCTGGTGCACACAGATCATTACTGTTAAATTCTCAGAATTCGGAGGGAACGTGAACACGAAAAAAAAAAAAAATTGAAAACTGATCAGCTGATAACAAAACACACAGTTGATAACTTCATTCATCTTGGACATCTAATTATACAGACTATGTACATTTAAACCCAACTCTGCAAGGGTAAGATTTACATATGCAGAATGGTTATCAGCTTTGGGTGGATCGAATTCTTCTGCAATGGCTAACATATGCCTTGACTGAGGACGATCTGAACAAGTATCTACAAAAGATACAGCTACATTCACTAGTGACTGTGGAATTACTAACTGTTATGCTCTTCTGCTTGGAGTACTCAACTCGGCTGTTCGATACAGTAATTCTTGGCTCGTTACAAAGTCACTAATGGGTGCTGGTGGCTTCACAGTCAGAATAAGATCTTCCTGGAGCAGGAATCGAATCACACCAGGCCACATGGGATCTGTTCTTTCTTACTGGAGGAATGAACAAACTCGGTGGAGTGGATGACTCTCCCCGGTTGAAAAACTAACGCTATAACACGCAATATGAGCAAGGGAGAATGGATCTACTATCTCTCACTGCAAGCACAGGGAAAAAGAAATGAACACGGTCAACAATACAGATATTCAATCTGAGTCACACACAGTGACATGAGGTATCAACTATAAAGAAACTACACTTACAAACGTTAACAACATGTGAAAGTTACTCGAGAAACAACTTTTTACAATGCATGGATTACTGTCAACGAGGATGGCATCACCATCTGGAACACAAGGGACAACAACAACACTCAAGTGAGTACACTAGCCACAGAAACGACTTTCTGCAACAGTTTGTGGCATCAGCAAGAGGTGGCATAATTCATTGCAAGTAAAGTTCTTCTCAAAGCGTCTCCTGGGAAGGAACGAATACTTGAACAGTCTTCATCACAAGGATAGTAGTCTCAGCACCCAGGGTTGTCTGAGGTTCCTCTAAACCCCAAGGAAAAACTGTACACTATCCTGCGTGCACGATATTGTGGCTGGTTTTCCAGACAGGAATGACAGTTTTTCTAGTGCCTGACTGCTCGGCTACGTTAATAAGTAATGGACGAATCTATAGGAGCTTAATCTGAACTTCACATTTTGCAGCACTTTAACAAATCTCAGATACAAGCTGTGAGAAACACATTGTCTAGCTAGGTACTGTCTTTCAGTCAGTAAGGAAATATTGGTACTGTGGACTGATTCATATTGACTTTGACTGGCATGATACACTAAGTAAGCAAACAAAAGTGACTGGGACATCTTCTCAGGGAACTTACTCAAGGACATGAAGGCAAAAAAAAAATAGAATGACACAGTAAGCTTAAATGGGAAGAAAATGCTTAACTAATCTGCATAAGTAAAGAAAAAAAGAAAATTAAGTTACACTGTAAGCAAGGAGAACTCACATGAAAATTAAAAAAAAATTACTCAACTGGATAAGCAACACTTTGAAAATCAAGAGAAATTGTACTTTACTCAAATCAAATTTACTCAAATTTACTTTAAATTGAATTAATGGCACAGTGAGTTGTCTTTACTCTCAGTTCAATAAAGAAATTCAACAATAAATGATAAAATGGGATCAATAAATCTTGTGCAAAATTAAAACAAACTGGGAAAGCAATTCACTAAAAAGAAAATAAAATGACACAAAAAGAATAAAATATTATGCACAGAAAAGAGCATATGAAACTGCACTGAAATAAACTGTAGCAATATTGCAAATAACAGTTACTAATAAAAAGTACTGCACAACACTACATAAAATTTTTGAAAGAAAAAATAATTGAATGGCATCACAATGTTACACAAGAATTAATGTAAAATGAGTCAATGTTGCAATAAAAAATAACACACAAGAAAATACAGTTTAGAAAAGCAACAACAACAAAAAATTATCAAGGAATGAACTGACTGAACACTTTAACTCTTAATTGCAACTTAAGCAACACTTACTGGACAAGCAAAAGAATGATTTACTTTAAAGAAGTGAAAAATTGCACTAAGAGTGAATTTGTTCAATGAAATATAAAAATAATAGAGGCAAAAAAAAAAAAACACAAAACAAGGAAAAGGTTTGAACACTTAAAGTGATGCAGAACACAACACATCAATATATGCACAATACTATGAGAATTTTCTTGTAATAAGGCTTGAGGTATGAAAAATTTGGAAAATAATTCTCTTGCTTCAAACAAAATAATGGCACTATTGTCTGTGGAGATAAGACAAATTAGACACTGGCTACATGAAAATAATTAACACAAGAATGTTCAACACACAGAGAAAAAAAATAAAATGGCAAATGAATGAATAAAAAAAAAAAAATTAGCAAGAATACACAAATGCTGGGGGGAAAAAAAATAACTGAGGCAACACTGAGTTGTGATGCA